TAAAGTTTACAGGAAAAAATAAAAAATGGGTAAAAAAAAAAGACAAAGATGAAGAAATAAGTAAGTGTTAGGGTCCAAGACGAAAAAATAAATAAGTTTTAGAGCAAAATGAACTAAAACGGAAAAAAATAAAGTTTCAAGACAAAAATAAAAAATGGGTGAAGAAAATACCAAAATGAGGACATAAATAAGTTTTAGGGCAAAATGAATAAAAACGGAGAAAAATAAACTTTTAGGGAAAAAATAAAAAAAGGGTCAAAAAAGTTCAAAATGAAGAAATAAATAAATTTTAGTGCAAAATGAACAAAAGGAAAAAAAATAAAGTTTTAGGGTAAAAATAAGGAAAAAAATCGTCAATAAAGGTCTAAAATGAAAAAAAAATAAAATTTGGGGTAAAATGAACCAAAATGGGGAAAAAAAATTTCAAGTCAAAAGATAAAGAAAAAGTTAAAAAAAAGACCAACATGAAAAAAAGAAAAAAATAACTTTCAGAGAAAAAATATATAATAAAGAATTTGAAAAAAAAAAAAATGGATTGAGGGTTTTTCGACCAAAGAATTTGGATATTCCTTGGACCAATTCTTTGATGTGTTTGACTTATTGTTAGACTTCTGGAGTAGACAAAGGTGCTCAGATGGCCATATATTTGATCTTGTCCAGCTATTGGGGATTACAGGAACAGAGTTTGTCAATGGGGCCGAAAGAAGATTAGTAAAGAACAAAATTGAACGCGTAATATTACAAAGTTGATTATTTGTTACTTCCTTTTATTTATTTGTTTTAAAGTTGATATTTTTGTTATTAATATTAGGATAATTATATTTGCTAGTTTAGTTCATTTCACCGATTTAAATTTAGAATTTGAATTTTATTACAGTAAAAAGTTCTCAGAAACAGTTACATTTAATTTTTTTACTACAGTAAAAAACTCTTACATAAAATCACATATAAACTTAAATTAAAAATTCAAATCAACAAACTAAACGAGCTTTTAGTATACATAACTGAATAACTGACTATTAAAGTTGTGACGCTGATTGAAAAGAGTCCTACCAAATTCAAATATGATTAACTCGCGCTTAAACTAAAATTCGTTTTGTTTTGACAAATATATTATGGATTCAAAGTTAAATTATTTCATTAAAAATATTTTAAAGAGCTTAAAGTAAATGAAGAACGTATAACTGATGAACTAATTCTTCACATAATAATTAAGACGAAGGAAGTTAACAAATGAGGCGAACTCACAATTAATAATTTACATTGATTATGTCATTCATATCATGAAAGCATTGTCATTGAATGGGCAAAATGTGAATTGACTCCAAAAATACATGATTAATTAAATATGTCAACCCAAACTCCACTGAAATTTTGACATCCTTCAATAATGAGCAATACTTGAGATTTTTTTTGAAAGGAAATTGAGGGCCCTTTTAGTTTGTTGATTCGAGTTTTTAATTCGAGTTAAGATATGACTTTATGTGAAAGCTTTTTACTGTAGTAAAAATGTTAAATGTGACAATTTCTGAAAATTTTTTACTGTAACAAAATTCAAATTCTAAACTTAAATCAGTAAAATGAACGGCGTCTGAGAATTTCATTATTTCGTTTAAGGGTAGTGCTATTAAAATGGACGCCACTAATCCACAAATTCCCACTATCGCTCCAGCATGACCAATATTGGCACATATGTCTTTATGGGTCATGTTGTAACGGCCCATATGCTTAATCTTGCTAACCCATCTTAACCTGATATTAGCCCACTTAAGAAATTATTAAATTTTAATATTAGTTTTCATTAGTTTAAATTCTTTATCTTAAATTTGAAGGGGCAATTTTGATTTATAATGAGAATAACAAAAAGAGTACAAAAATTGATTATAAAAACTCAAAGTTTTCTTTTTTCATTATGATTGGTGAACATCACTAGGGTCTCTTTAATTCGCTAATTCGAGTTGAGATATGACTTTATGTGAAAGTTTTTAACTGTAGTAAAAAAGTTAGATGTGACTGTTTCTGAGAGCTTTTTTACTATAGTAAAACTCAAATTTTAAACTCAAATCGGTCAAATGAACTGAAGCTATAAAGGGTTGAACCCTCTGTCATCGTGCGGTGGATGTGTGAGTAAGCTACTATCCCGTGCATTGTGCGCAGGGGCACTCAAAATTAATATTTTGATATTTTGGGAACTTTAAAAGTTGATAAAATTATTTATTTATGATTTTTTTTTTCAAAGTGAACTACCGTACATATTCAAATGTGAAAGAGTTTAAATTGTCCAAATTAAGTCTTGAAAATATAAATTAGGAATGTGAAATTTGAAAAGAAAAATTGGAGAATTTTTAAGATTATCATAAATTGAATTTTGGAAATTCTAAACTTAGGAAAATTTTGTTTTAGTTTTAACAAACCAAATGGCGTACGCTAGTTCGGAGAAAATAAAAGTAGATAAATGTTATCTATTTTAAATTTTAAAAAAGTTAAAATTGCAATTTTAATTTAAACTATCTTTTGAAATGGTTTCAAAATAATATCCGATTAGTAATAGCAATTGTTTTGGGACCTCAAAACTTCTATAAAATTAATTTAATGGTTTGGAACTAATAAGTATGAAACTAATATTTTTAAAGTGTTTTATTACTTGGGAACTTTCATAAAAATCTTGTCAGAACTACTACAGGTATAGAAGGTCAAAGTCAACTAAAGGAGAAGAACAATACAAGAAGATGACAGTCTGGATTGTTTGGAATGTTTTATTTTGATTAAAGTTTTTTTTTTTTTTTTTTTTTTTTTTTTTTTTTTTATAAATTTTTTCTACAAGATGGAACATAGTATTAACATTGTAATCTTTATTACTAGTTTGATTATATACCTATAAATCCTATGATTAATTATTACATAAATTGTTAATAACATGTCACATAGGATAACGAATATAGTGTCATTGATAATAACATTTTCATTTAATGTGGAGATTTTTATAGGATTCTAAATTGTTTATATATCTTAATTACATATTATTTTATTTAGTGTTAAATAAATATAATACAAAACCTAATTACACAATAGTGGGCCGAACCTACCTGTTCACCAAAGTAACAGACCAAGTTAGTAGCCCACTGGTTCACCAAAGTAACCCACCGAGTTAGTAGCACACTGGTTTACCAAAGTAACAGACCAAGTAAGTATCCCACTGGTTCACTAAACTAACCCACCGAATTACCAGATGATATTAGCTTATTCCTTATCCAATCTTTGACACTTTAAAGATCATTTTCAATAAATTGGTTTTGTTAAAATGTAAGACCAGATGTTGTGTTTTGTCATCACTTTAGAAAACTTTTGTAAACCCTTTATGCAATTTTACTAAAGATTGGAAGTCTAAAGTGTCTGTGTATGTGCATTAAGTCGTATTTTAGATAAACTTAATCAAGTACTCAAAACATCAATAAAAAACTGAGATATGATTTTAATCTATATAAACACGTCTTGTAATTTTCCATTCTCAAGCTCTGAACATAATACCTTGAAATCCATCTTCAAGTTTTATGATCCAAGCGCTTTCTTAAGATTTCCTCCATGAATCTTGAGGTTTAAGAAATCTTTTATACAAATACAGCTTAAACACCCAAAATATTGGTTAAAAATTCACAAAAATAATAGTGGCTTAGTGAAATTAAGACCTTGGAACCAACACCCTTTAAAGACCATTTTTCAGAGTTCGAGAGGCAAAATGAAACATGTCGAAATTTTGAGGGCAAAAAATAAAAGTTTATCTCTTTTTTTAATACTTAAAAGTAGGACGTTTCAAACTCTTTATTTTATTTTATGATGAATTATGGTATGGTATTATTATTAGGCTATACCTGTAACCACGCAAGCATACGCTCTATTTGTTAGAAGTTGGTGTATTTAATTTTTTTTTTCTTAGAAGTTTAGTTAGTCTAGGAAGGTGATTATATATATAGTCTTAGCAAATTAATCAATATAAAATTTCACAAATTCTAGATCAACTTATGTCTTTTCATTTGTTTAAATAATGGGAGTACCAACCTCATCAATTTTCCGGTTATTCTAATATTTTTGGTCAACGGTATTTAAGGGAAGAGTTCAAGTTAGAATGTATTGTACTTAGGTACGTATAATATTGAAGTTTCCAGTTAATATAAATTAGAAATCTCTTGGAATTTAAGTCGTTGAACAATTTTGTCAAATTATTGAAATAAACTTGGACGGTGAATTATAAATTTCGCGAGCGGACAAACTATGGTTAATATGGTTTTCCACGTTTGTTTGACCCAACAGCTCACCCCACTATTTTAGATTATTTCATATTACATTATATTATATAGTATTGTATTATATTATCTGGAGTGATTAATGGTCAAAACTTATGATTTGTCTATATTAATTAAGAGAAAGTGGAGCAGATGATATATGTAATTGACCCATCTTAATTAAATGACTTGACGCCATTTAAATTGTAATTAATGTTCAAAGGATACATTTTAGCTTACAAAATGGTTAAACAATATTAACAACAAAGTATATATCAAGCAGTAATTTAAGAGACGTTTGATTTATGGATTAGAATAATTAGATTAGAACAATTTTCTATTTAAGACAAAGAGCTATATCAGAAACATTGAAAAAAAAAAAAAAGGAATCATGAGGATGATCAGGACAAATGAATGGCAAAAAAAAAAAAAAAAATGCTAATGTAGGAACAGCTTAATTTCCTTGCCCTATAAATATGAGATGTATATGCTCAATAAAAACTAGAACCAAAAACAAGTTCATAAATCCTAAAAAACCAAAAAAAAAAAAAAAAAAAAAGAGTATACTAGTTAACTGATAATTTGTTGATGATCTTTGGCCAATAATTATGGATCCTAAACTGTTCGTAGCTGCAGCTTCTGGGGATGAAGAAGCCTTGGGGAGATTTTCAGAAATAGTGATGAAGCGAGAAACCAAATCCCAGAAAAACAGTGTTCTTCATGTTGCAGTCCTCCACAATCAAAACCGTACGTATTGTGGAGAAGATCCTCGAGCGCCTGTCAGGTCACCACTTGCTTTTGTATCGCAAAAACTCCGATGGAGACACTGCGCTGCACATCGCGGCACGACTGGGACTAGAAGACATCGTCCGAGTTCTAATAGAATCTGCCAAGGGGGATTTTTGTCTCAAAAGGCTGACGAGAAAGGTGAATCGAGAGAGCGATTCGGCGCTCCATGATGCTGCGAGGAACGGACATCTCGGCGTTGTTAGGCTGCTAATTCAGGAAGACCGCAAATTGGCTCTTCTTACAAACAGTGCTGGAGAATCGCCTCTCTTCCTGGCTCTTGAAAGAAACTACTTTGACATCACCAGAGAATTGTTGGACAGCACTGAAAAATGTTCTCTTGCGGGAAGGCGTGGCATGAACGCCTTGCACCTAGCTGTTATTTACTTGCACGAAGGCATGTCATAATGGTCGTGTTTGGAATTGATTCCGTTTTTGTTTTTCATGTTTTTCGAGAAATAAAAAATGAAAACGTTTTCAAAATGGTGTTTGGTGCAATAAAGAAAAAAAATAAAAATAAAAACGATTTTTTGATTTAGTGTAAAATGAGAGAGAAATGAAAAACATTTTTTGTTTTTTTGTTTTTGAGCAGAGAGAGAAAAGAGAGACATTAATGAGTTTTTTATAATGAAAATAATCTCTTCATAAAACTACCAAACGCATTTTTAAAAATGATTTTTGTCTGAGATTGAAAACGTTTTTATTTTCATTTTCATACAAAAAATAAAATCATTTTAGAACGAGTTTCAAACGCGCGTAATATGTTCATGATCATCCATCGAACCTTCTTCGCAAAGCCTTGTGGTCGACCTGTCCGTGGGCCTTTTTAAGAAGTCAATAATGTTAGAGTTATTTGTGTCGTTTCGTTCATAGTTTAAACTACAATGTAGACCTTTTTATTACAATATTTTCTTCACATAAAATTTGAATGTTGTTTAAATGAATAAAAGCTGGATGACTATTTATATTAGCAACTTGATTAATTATACCCTGAAAATTATAAAATTGTACAAGAGAAGCTGTACAAAAAAAAAAAAAAAGACTTTAATAACAATCGAGAATTGTTGCAATGAGTCAGGGAGAAATGGTGCAGGCCCCTCATCATCAGCTACCAGCCTCCATAACCAGGACCAAGAACTATAGTAATTAATCATAGTAATGACACAAAACTTTTTGTTCAGATTTCGTATTTCTAAATTCTAGCCATATATATAGTTACAAACTATCAGTCGGAGCATTTTTATGTGCATGGCATGAATAGTATTGAAAAGTAAGGCGGTAATTACACAAAACTTTCGTTCAGATTTCGTATTTCTAAATTCTAGCCATATATCTATAGTTACAAACTATCAGTCGGAGCATTTTTATGTGCATGACATGAATAGTATTGATCAGTAAGGCGGTAATTACACAACTTTCGTTCAGATTTCGTATTTTTAAATTCTAGCCATATATATATAGTTACAAACTATCAGTCGGAGCATTTTTATTTGCATGGCATGAATAGTATTGAAAAGTAAGGCGGTAATTACACAAAACTTTCGTTCAGATTTCGTATTTCTAAATTCTACATTTATCACTGTCTAATATTGATTTCATTTTAGGTCTGGTGAGCGACATGATCAGAAAATATTCTTCAGCACTGGTTGAACAAGATAATTTAGGATGGACATGTCTTCATTATGCGGCGCGCTACGGCGTCGAGGAAGTCGTCGTTTTGTTCCTTGAAAATGATAAATCCTGTTCTTATATAAGGGACAAAGAAGGCCTGTCAGCTTTCCACATAGCAACTAAACAAGGAGAAGTTGAGATAATCAGACAAATAATGACATTTTGCCCAGATATATCTGAGTTGTTGACTTGCAATGGTCAAAATGCTCTTCACGTTGCTGTGAAAACTAGAAAGGAAAATGCGGTTGAATATCTGTTAACTACACTTGGTTCTAATGGTTTTCTTAACAAGCAAGACGAGGATGGAAACACGCTTTTCCATTTGGCTGCCATTATAGAAGATTATGAGATTTTAGAGTTGATTATATATATGGTCCGGCGTATGGTTCTAAACAATGAAAAAGTGAACCAAAATGTCATGAATAAGGATGGTTTGACAGTAATGGACATTATTCAATCGTGTAACACGCTTGAAGATTCTCGAAAGGTACGAATATTCCATCTTAATTAACTAAAAATTAGTTTGTGTTATCGTTTATTATGCAGTAAATATTTACCGCCACCAGTTCCTTAATCCTCATATTTTAGAACCATTCAAAAATGATAGTAAATATTTTGTTTGGGTTTTGAATTGAAACACGGGTTAATATACATTAGTTAAACAACAACAAAAAAAAAATAATAAAAAGCTAGCATTGTTTATAGAAAAGATTAGGTGGATAACAGGTTTTGGCCACCCTCTTTTAATTAATAGCAGAACATTTTTTTTGTTTTGTTTTGTTAAAAGGCCTTTTTTTTCCTTCTGGATTTTAATGATCAATTAATAACATATATGTACTAGTGATCTATAATTGATAGATTGGTCTATCACTGATTTATTAATGGTCCATCACTAATGGACTAATAAGTTATTGATTGATACTATGATAGGTATAGATCCAAAAATGATGGACCACCAAGTTAGTGATAAACCACAAATCATTCGATTTACTAAATATTAATATAGAAAAAAAAGGGAAAGCAGAACATAGACTCAACAATTTTTGATTATTTATTTATTCATTGTTGCTGATCTGATCACCATTCTTTGATCAAAAACATGCTTTTGACATTCTTAAACAGCAGCTAATAAGTGTTGGCCAAAAAAATATATTAGTTTCATAATTATGTATCCTGTTTAACACAAACGTATCTATTTGTTTGTGCATTTATGCGTGTGTATTTACGTTTCTATGTATTAGCATATAATTTAACATATATATGCATGCACGGTCAATGTAACATTTATGCAATAATTTCAGGAAGGCATTATATCAGAACTAAGAGGAGTAGATTGTGTTCCTGGTCTGAAACGACAACTAATAGAAAGAAACACCCAACTGCAAAATGTGGAGAAAATTAAGGGAGTGCCACAGCCACAACTAGAGAACAAGCTGGTAGAGGAAAGCAAAAGTACCAACCTCCTCACAAAATTATTTTTTCAACCTTTCATAAACCCCCGCCACACAAAACGGGCAGCTGAGGTTGACATAGTGTTGGCCACCCTCATCGCGGCCATAACCTTCGCGGCGGCTACGAAAGCGGCGGTGATTACACCTCCGGTGGGTTGCCAATCATGAGGGACAAATATTTTTTCAAGGTTTTCATCATCTTCGATTCCATAGCTTTCGGTCTTTCGTCGTCCTCGATTTTTCTACACTTTCTTGCCTCAATGAGCACAAAGGGCGAGAACTCTTTGTTTCTCCAGATTGCCAAGCTCACAACCTTCTACTCCATTTTAGCAATGGTGGGGACTTTCTTCTCGGCGTTACATCTCGTTTCGGAAAATTCCAAAGGAATATACATAGCTTCTTATGCCTGTCTTGCTGCCTTCTTGATCGGTCCTTTCTACCTCAAATATTTTGACTTCCTTTCGTGGATAAAAGGGTGTCTTCCCTACGCTTTCGTTTGTGTTCTGCTGCTATTCTTTGTTGTTGGCGTTATTGGCCTTGTTGTTCTGTTTTTCTTCAGAATTATTCACTTTCACCTCATTAGTTAGTATATATGTTCTAATCTCAACATTAAATGAACTGTAATATGTGGTGAAAAAGAATATGCCAACAACTTAATTTGTCAGTTACTTTGTCAAGTGTGTTTATATATGCTTTTGTTTTTGTAATATTTAATAATTAAACCGTATTCTTTTCAAGAGTCGTAGGGTTTGTTATGGTGATTTGAGTGTAGATCTTGAGTTGAATTTGAGTTGAAGTTATAACTTGAGTTTGTGTTTAGATGTGCACATTTAAGTTATGATTTGAATTGAAAATCTATTTGTGTTTGTGTTTGAGTGAGTCAAAATTTAAATTTGTATTTAAAAAGTATTTTAATAAAAACTTAATGGTGATGAAAAATTTTAATAGGATATATGGGTGAGGTTTTATTCGTCTCTTCGTTGTGAACGCATAGAAAAAAAATTATCTCAATCGAAATTAAAACGAAAAAGTTGTGACGTTTTTAAGAATAGAAAAAATATTGTTCATTAACTTAAGTTTGAGTTGAAGGAAAAATTTAAACTCAGATTTTAACTCCAAACTAAAATTAAAACTCGAGTTCAAACTCAAATTTTACAAACGAATATAAACTGAAAAAAAATTATAACTTAAATTCAATTTTTTTTTTTTAGTTTTACTTAAAAAAACAAGTCCGTAGACTCTGAAATTTCTTCTCACTATTGGCTTTCTTTCATTTTGGCTATTGAGAAAGCCCAGAGAGCATCAGTGGCACGTCTTGCGGAATGATTCTAATTCAGAAATCATGGCCGCTTCTGACTTTGGCCTTCGGTGAGAAATCAACGATTCTAGTTTCCTAAAATTTCGTGAGGCTAATTGGGTTGCAAATGGATTGATTTCGTCTACTATTTCTAGTGAACACTACCATTGGTGGTCAACTAGTATCAAAATTTTTCTCATTTTGTCCTTTTAAATGATGGAGAGGCGACAACTAGAATCAAAATTACGTGAGAACATCCGAATTAAGTTGGCAACCTGTAAAAGAACTATCATATACGAGGCCGAGGCCATGAATGTCTTAGTTCCGAGAGTAAATAGCACGTTAATGGTACGTTTGGTTCATGAGTTTAGAATCATGATTTATAATTATGATTTTTGAAATTTAAATTTTTTGTGAGAGAAAAACACTGTAAAGGACTAAGAATCGTGATTCAGAACCAGAAACGAACACTTAAAATAAACATCCCATAAATAAAAGGAAAAATAAAAATAAACAGACAAAGGCTGCATTGAAGAAGCAAGCTGAATGTCCTCCTTTGACGACCAACACTCTTGATTGACCTTAATAAGAACCTTGCTAGCAAAAGTACAAAATCCCAAAGGGAAAAAACTAGCATGGAAAAATACTGTCTATGCTCGACTGCCCGAACAGATTAATTAATCTATAATTAGGAAGACCAATCATATCACATTGCACCATTCTGCTCAAGAATTGAGAATCGAAATAGCACCACCAATCGTACGTCTGAGGGAGACCATGAGAAGCTGTTCTGTCGGCAATTTGATTACCATCCTTTTATATGTGACATGCCCAAAAAGTGATTCGACGAAGCTTTTCAGTTGTAGCATTAATCCAATATTGAGACCTAATATTCCGAAGAACATTTCAATTAGAGAATTTAACAACTACAAGAGTAATCACTTTAAGAGACTAAATTTTTTGTTACCAAAAAATTTTTGGTAGCAGAAAACACACTTTTTGCTACCAAACTTTGGTAGCTGAAATTATCAAGGCTTGAGTTACCAAATCTGGTAGTAAAAAATACACAATCCGCTACTAAATATAATTTGGTAACAAATAATATGGCGGGAAATGAAATTTGGTTCCCACCAATAGTTTTTTGCTACCAAAACAATATTTGGTAACAAAAACATAAGATTCTACCACCAAAATTTGGTAGTAAAATATTAAAGCTCACACTTTTTGCTATTAAAAACCTTTTGCTACTGAAATTTTTAGTTCCCGAATATCATATATTTTGTTACCGAATAAATTTTGTTACCAAAAATTTATTTGGTAGCAAAAACTATTTGCTACCAAAATTTTAATAACTAATACTTTCTGCTACACACTTTTTGCTACTAAAATTTTTTGGTAACAAAAACATTTTGCTATAAAAAATAGGACTTTTGGTTACTAAATTTTTGGTAACAAAAAATTCAAATTCTTGTAGTACTACTAGAGTATTATCACTTTCAAACTGGATAAAATCCCAATTGTGTCTAGTTTTAGTCTCAACTGCCTTAAAGGTCACGTAATAAAGGTGAAGAGAAACAGCCTTTAGGGAATCTACTACATATGGATACGAAAAGTACCACCACAAGCTATAGGTGAAGTAGCTCATTTAGTACACTAATCCGTATTTATCTTAATCCATCCATGTAAGGGGAAAATCATTGAACTTGTTTAACATTCGGGTCGGCCATCAAGTTTTTTTTGTTACAGTATTTTCTCTCATAAAAATTTAAATTTAATTTTTTTGTTACAATACATTCTCTCTCATAAAAAAAATTTAAATTGTTACTTAATTTGTGAAAAGAACATATCTGTGGTAACTTGAGAACTATTTATTTATTTATTTATTTATTGCTTGAACATATCTTCCACAAAATCTTGAATTAGATTGAATCCGCGATAATGCCATAATCGCCACACAAAATTAAAGGATCTTCTGCAAGGAATATAACTTGGCAATAATTTCAATAGCCAATATTGTATTGGCTTTTGGGGACGTAAATTGTTGTATAGGAAAAAAAAAAAAAATCCTTTTGCAATCTGATCGGGATAAGAATTAAGAAATCTTCCTTCAATTCCGAACTTTTAATTTCTCCCTCATTTTTAACCCATGAATTTCTCAGACTAGAATTCAAATTAATGTTCTTGCAAAGCCAGCCAAACAGAAAAAAAAGATAACGAGCTGCCTATTAAGTTGAATTCATAGATATAGATATATATATGTACATACATACGTATACATATATACATATATATATATATATATATATATATATATGACTAATCAACATTCAGTAGCTTACATGTGTAATGGGGTTGTGATAACTTCTCTGGGATATTTACCCATAACAATAGGAAACTCCAGATAATTCATAAAAATTTGTAATAACTTCTCTGGGATATTTACCCATAACAATAGGAAACTCCAGATAATTCATAAAAATAATCAAGTTCATAGTCTTTCGTAAATAGAAATGTTAGCGTCATTTTTTCTGTCAATTTTTTTATTACTTTTTATATTTATTATTTGACATGTAAATTCTATTAATATAATATATTTTTATTTAAATAAAAAATAAGATAATATAATCTACGTGTCATATAATAAATGTAAAAAATAATAAATAAATTAATAACAGAAAAAATGACGCTAACCTTTATCTTTTTGTAAATTATCACATAATTCTTGCGAATCTGCCCCAGTTAGAAGCCAGCGAATATAGGGGAAAAAAAAAAAAGAAAAAAAAATTAAAATCATGCACTCGACCCTGATAGTCGATGTAGTCAACAGATCTATGAAAGCCAGATGTCAAAAGCATTTATTTCAATTGTAAGTGAGCCGTTGCGTGCATTAAATTATCAGTAAATAAATACGTGTTCTTGGAATCGATCGACCCAGAATTGAATGTTTCATAGCCTAGCTAGCTCCTTTGTCCTTTCGACCTAGCTCTTTGTGTTTTACACCATTATTAATGTTAAATGTACATCAATTTATTTTCCTTTCTCATATTCAATTACTCAACTTACACGTCAACATTTGATAAACAAGTTGAGATAATATCAATTTTTTGCCTTACAGTTTGTTTCATCATTATCAACAAATTCTCTCTTCGGGCAGTATCTTTGCCTACATTGAGTTTAAGTGCTTGATTTATCAAACACTATATAATTTAGCACGTTTCCTTCCAATGTGTGTATATATATATATACATATCGGTATATATAACTCAACAGGTTGAATAAATATAGTGACATACTATTTTAATTTAATAACAAATTTGGATAGGCAAATAGATGCCTCTCAACATTTAAAAAAAAAAAAAAATTTCACGTATGTAGTACGTAATGTATCGATAGTATTGGTCCTATCATCATGGTCGTTCTTGATATAAATATTATAGAATTGATCTATGCCAAGCACGTAAAGATTAATAATTAAGTATTGTCTTTGTTTTGCAATCTTGCATTTTGTAACGAATAAGAAAATACAAATTGCTTAATTTATCTGCTTACAAAATTAACAACCGAAATATATATATATATATATATATATATATATATATGTTGCATTTTCATTAAACTGAAGTGGACACACACACAAACATAAATATATATATATATATATGTTGATCACAATTATTAACATATATGCTTTCTACACGTACATCAACTTGCTATTTCTTAAAAGATAGAGAAAAACAAGAAAAGGAAAAAAAAAGGACTGCTACCAGCATCATGACGTTTAATACAAACCCAATAAAAATATAGATAATTTAAAGCAGACAGAGTCCACTTCTTCTTCTTCTACCACTCATTATATATAATATATATATATATATATATGTATGTATATATATATATATCAGGCTGCAGAGAGTGCAATTATGGGATACCTATAATGGGGAAGAAAGGAACATAGTAACTTGAAGGAGCCAAGCCCCACTCAGGTGGTAATGGCAGATCAACAGTTTTGGAAGAACCCCATTTCTTCATGGTCTCACATTTGGCATGATCTATGGTTGGAGGGCAAGATGTGTAGATGGAAAGAGGGCTGGAGATTGTGTAAGAGTTCGAATCATCGGTTTCGACAATCTGTGAAGTCATGAACTTCTTTGAGGTATAAAGCTGGTTTGGACCCCCAAGAAGCTTGGAAAGGCAATTACTCAAAGATCTTGGCTGTGGCGTGTTGTCTGAGGGAGCTTCGACCTCGAAAGAGCCATCATCCTTTGTGGTAGCCATAGCCAACTTTTTCACTTTGTCACACTTCACTAAGACCTTGATTCCAGCTGAGACCAAATATATTTGCAAAACAAATAAAACATTTAAAATTCGGGTGACCTAATTAGGATATTTAAGATCAATTAATCGTCCGTCCGTTCAACAGAGTTTTTGCTTTTGCTTTAAATTAGCAGAAGAAGAGAAGTAAAAGAATATGTAGTTTTTCAGTAAGTATTTGAAACCATATTCTTAAAAAGAGTTTAGATGAGTGAAAATAGTTTTTAAACTTTGTAATAAGTAATAAAAATGTTAGAATACAATTTTATAATGTCTTATATTTTGAACTCTGATAGAAGGTTCAAATTCAACCAAGATCTTTTTTGAGAAGCACGTTTTGTGGCTTTGACTAGTTATAACCTTTTCTAGTGAGGCAAAATACGTACTTCTAACAGATGCTCCAAACACTCACAGAAACAATTTTTGGTGTCAGGAAGCCAAAAGTAGTTTCTAATAAGCTCTCTTTAACAAGCTCTAAGACCATCACAATAATCATTTTACATGATCTATTTTTATATGAATGTTTGGAGAGGACAAACCTGTGAGATCACTTTTGCTCTTGCAATCTAGGCAAGAGACTTTGCCCTTGATGAGTACATGGCTTGTGGAGGGATCAATCCTTGCGAGAGCCAAAACAAAAAGAAGTACAGTAATCGCCTGAGAAAGCGCCATTTTGGGAGCAATTTCACCACCAAGAAGAGAGAGTAGAAGTTGATGATCACTTTAAGAGGATAAGTGGACATGTGTTGCAAAGCTTTTATAAAGAAAAAGATATCAACTACTTGAGAAAATATTAAATGAAAGGCCCTGCAGTGCTGAGTTTAGTGGTTGGTGCTTATTGAAGTGCTACAGAAACTTCTGAAGTAGACAATTTATATGTTGATCAGACAACTATATATATATGTTGATTTGATGCTTAATATTAAGATGTTGTAAAGACATATATATAGTATTGGTATATCTTGGATATGGGTCGGGCACAAAATTAATTTTGTATTACAGGCCTCCAATAATTTCATTTGCTTATTACCAAATTAAAACCTTTGTCTGGAAGTAATCGTACACACACACAAATACTAGCATTTATGTCGAAGATATATATATATATATATATATATATATATATTCCATAAATACAAGTCATAATAATAGTCTTGTATATATACACATAGCACAAAATATATATATATATATATATATATACACACACACTGCACAATATTCATTTAGCTTTGTATATTGCATACAAGAATTAAATCTTAGGGCCAGTTTAGTTCGCTGATTCGCGTTTTTAATTCGAGTTGAGATGTGACTTTATTTGAGAGTTATTTATTGTAGTAAAAAAATTAGATGTGACTGTTCATGAGAGTTTTATACTGTAACAAAACTCGAATCGGTGAAATGAACGGAGGCCTTAAACTGCTTAGAGCTTGCTAAAATTGAAGACTGCATCTATGACCATATGGATGAACTTGCAAGAGAGTGGGGAAATTTTCTAAGTGATTTCATTAGTCGGTTGCTTTATTCATAAATATTATTTTCGAAATTACATTTGTGGTTTTTCGTATGTAATTTTTGGATGAAAATTTTGATAATGATCAAATCAATGGGTACTAATTTGGGCTAAATTAGCACACGCAATAGGCCACCTTGGAAAAAATTGTAAAATTACTATTTTTTATTACATCATGGACGACTAGAGGATTTGTCGATAAAAGTTGAAGATACGATGATTGTAACATAGAAAATTATCGTATTATGTAGCACAATTAACGACAGTTAATCCTGCAGAAATACAGTTGCTAAATGCCTTCTCTTAGCTCGTTGGCCTTGGTCCTTCCGCGCACACATTTGTTAATGTTTAAAAACTGTCATTTCTGTTCAAAACATATATTAATGACTCCATATTTGACGCTGCTGTTAATAAAAGGTTTGTTAAAACTAATGTCGTCGTTTCCATTTTTTTTTACTAATTTAAGCTGCCATATTATTCAAACTCAATTTAAATCAACCTCTGCTCTTGGAAAATGCATGCACGTAAAATTACTTAAAACATCAACCCTTAAATCTCTGTGCAAACCTTGTCATTAGAAGTGTGTTTTGTGTTTAAATGGTACAAATCTCTTTCAAATTTTAACTCTAGCTATCTATGTACTATCATATATAAGTCATTATAAATAGACAGGGATAGTTGAAATTAAGATATTATGGCCTGTAAAACTAGAGAAATTGGAAAAATTGCATCCTATGTATTTAATCAAAATTTCAAAATAATTTTGCGATTTCAAAAATATGCTGAGATTACCCCAACGAGTTAAAAAAAGTTCGCTCCCATGTATTTCTAATAAAACAAAATGTGCCCCAAAAGTAGATTTAATTAATTTTAAGGAGGAAAAAGCCTTTCCAAGAAAAAAATAAATAAATTGATAACTCTCAATCATTTCGTTCATTAAGGATAATTTTATCATACTTCTTAAAAAAGGGATACTTTTTTCATTTTGCATATTTAATGTTTCCTAAATATCAGATTAGCTGGCATGAATTTTAGATAATTAGAAAAATATGGGAGGTAGTCTCTGAAGTTTTGGCAAAAATAAAGAGTTAATCCCATCAATGGTCTCTGAATATTGCTGTCAATCCCACTTTAATCTCTGATTTTTAAAACATTTCAAACTTAATTCCCGATCTATCAATGTGTTTGAGATTCAGTCATTTTCATTAGTTGGTGTAAAAAAAAAAAAAAAATAGAATATGCAATGTGATGTGGAAAGAAAATAGTATTTTGCTAATAGAAGATGGAAAATAGAATCCGTAAAGTTAAGGGGTTGTTCGGTTTACCCGGTTTACTCGAGAAAGCCCACTCGAGTTATGATTCCAAGCCCAAGTTCATGTTCGGAGAAGAAAAACTCGAAATGGAACTCAAAATTTTTTTCGAGTTATTACCCAGTTTTTGAGTTCACCTTCCCCCTGCCACTTGAGTTATTTTTCTGCACATCTATAGTGCAGATTCCTGCACTTCCCGTTGCAAGCTTTGTTCTTTCTCAGCTTTTCTACACTGCAATCACGTGGTTCTCCTGTATCCTTGATTCGAAACCGGGTTTAGTCCTCCAACCTTCATCGATTTCTGAAGCCCTCAATCCGTTGCCCTATTTTCCCCCAATCTCCGGATTTTGAATCCGCCGCAGACACCATCGACCCCCCTTCCGCATGTACCGTCACCCCCTTCCTCTACCATTGTCGTCTACTGTTACCCCTTCAAAACGGGGAGATTTGTTGGGACAACGTCGGTGCGGCAACCTAGGTGGGCAAACCTCCTCCTTCGATGTAGAGGAAACGGTGCACGTCGTAAAACTGTCCAGCCGAGACGTCAATCCTTGGTCCTCTACCTCTGTCGTCGCCGGTACCTCGGACTTGCTATCCCTTCCTCGCATTTGGGGAATCTCCAAGGGAACCACATCTCCTCCTCCATAGGCTTGAATTCGGTAAGTTTTTTCCAAAACCTTGTGTTCAGTTTATGGAAAATATTTGTGGTGGTTTCTAGACCCAAATCCGAGCACTAG